GGAGCACGGGTGAAAAGGGGGACAGATTTCAGAAAGTCCAAACAAGCGTAAACTTTAAGTTAAGCTTCGTCTGGAGTTTCGCGTTGTTGGTCTCTTTTCCCCCTGCTTCTAGGTTACTATGTCAGTTACAATAGGGAACTAAATCTCTTTTGGCGATAGTTAAGGTGTTGTCATAACTGAATCTATGCGCTGAAAGCATCTCAAACTAACAAAAAAAAAAACTAAAAAAATCATGTTAATCCGTTGCCAATTTCTATATCAAACTCGGTGTCAAATTATCGACACCAGATGGCGCAACTGGATGAGGAACGGCAGAACCCTGCCCCTCTTCGTGCAGCACTGCCATTTGGTCTTTGCGATAGTTCCGAGGTAATCGATCTTTCGATACCAATGTTGGTAGAGAAATCTGCCACTCATGAATGTAATGTTTGACTATTGAAATTCCTAGAGCCTATATTTTGAGTTTTGTTTATAAATAGATTATCGCAGCAAGTGGTTTAGTACCTCTTTAAACTAGCTCGCCTGCGCTCTCGCTGAGTAATTTAACTTTGTTACTTTATCACCCTAGTTCGTGATCACTCCTTTGTCTATGTCTTAGTCCTTGCGACGAAATAAACAAATGAATAGTTTTATGGTATTCAAAAGAAGAAAAAAAGTATTCCTTAAAATATACAAAACACTACATTCCTAGATAGAATTATATCACCACGATCGCCTTTTCGTATACATCTTTAAACCAAGGCGTCGCATAGTCGCGCCATAACGCAAGGCTCATGACATCTAAAATGCTTTTTCGGTTGATTTGGCAAGATTTGAAACAATTCAACTTCTGGTTAGCATTGGAGTAATACTTTAGTGCCTTGATTTGTGTGAAGCTATCAAGTGCAAGAGGGATCTTATAGAACCACCCTATAGTACAGGGACGGCCAGATGGACATATTAACTATTTAAGTGAAGAGCCGGAAAAAACGAGGGTGTTGCACCGTTTATATATATTTTTGCTCCATTGGTTATTGCAGGAAATTTTCCTCATAAAGCGATTGCTCAGCATATTCTGAGTCCCTATTCGTATTCGAAAAAAACATGTTCGATGTGCGTATACGGCAAAGGCTGACAAAATGAGTCTGCCTTTTTATGTATTTTATTTTGTTTTGTTTTTAGGGGGGTGGTTGGTTACCAGGTAACCGCAAGCAGCACTTGAACCCCCGAAGAGCCGCATAAGGCTCGCGAGCCGTGGTTTGGGCACCCCTGCTATAGTACTCTAAGCAATTATTTCCGATGATTACATAGATCAAGAACGTTCAGCAGAATACTGCAGAAAAAAAAAAAAGCTTAATATCTGCTCGTACTCGTTTTATTCGCCACAGTTAAAGGCGGCTTAAGGGGGCAAATGCCCCCGCATGCCCCCGAAGGAAAAATGCCCTTTTGCGCAAACCCGCTTAGCCAACCCCCAAACCGATCACGCGTGTAACTCGACAATTTAGGAGTGTACACTTATTGGACGATTGCTCGTACATTAAGGGAGGGACATTAAAGAAACGCCTCTCCAATTAAACTATGACCGCAAGATTATACGCGGCTATAAGGATTATCAATTGATCTCGGGAACAAACAGACGCTTCCGTCGGGTCACGTCAATAGCGGCCTTGCGAGGACAAGATCGTCCTCGGCGCGGCCGGTAACACTCGGAAGAACAAAACAGGGGGACGCCCCACAAAAGAAATTTTGCGGCGTGACCATGAAAACCGGTCCACAACTCTCGCGCGTACCACTACACTTACGTGCAATCAAACTTTCGCCTCGTTTCCTCCCCACCATTATATCATCTTCCTCGTCGAGAAGAGCCGAAAGAAGGTTTGTGAGACTAGGCGAGGGTGCGACAAAAGGGCGTCGCGTCAATTCCGCTCGGCTCCCTTCACGTCCGCACTCCGTCACCCTGTTGAGGTTACTCTCACGCCGCCTCCAGGATAACGCGCCACCGTGTCACCTGGTACAATTTTGTTCTCTGGTGATTCGGACAGGAAAGTGCAAGTCCACTGAGATCACTCGATTGTGCGACACCTCTTGAAATCGCCGTCTAGGCTCTTGGGAGAAGCGGCTTTATTTTTCCAGGTAGGATCCCCTAGACTCTCGGTTTTTTTTTTAATCCGCCTGAATTGGCTTCTGTTACCCTATTTCCACTTGGTCAAAGCCAATCAAAGTGCGTTTGATTGTCGGTTGTTTTTGACGTTATGCGATTGGTGCAATGCTCGTCATTAGATGTTGTCTCTATGGTTCCTTATTTGTTCGCTGTTTTAACCAAATTATTTTTGGTTGGCTAAAAAAAAGCACTTATATTACGCATTTTCTTAGGACACCATCCAGTTCCTTCTTATGCGAAGCACTCAATGTAAGCTTTGCACGACAGCTTGCGAGTCACAAATATGCGGTCATTCTTTGACTCAATCGTTCCCTAACGAAGTCTACGACAACCCACCTCCAGCCTTCTTGTGTCTCGAATTTACTGCTCACACAGGTGATTGACGCCTGCCACAATAGTTAACTACCCTGAAATCAAAATTATTATTATTTTTTATTTCCGGCTTCTTTTTTCATTTACTGCAGCGGGTTGGAGTGTGTATACATAAAATTTATGCGATAACGCGCCTACACACCCACGGCCATGGAATGTTCTTATGAATCCCAACACTCGATTTGATCGTTCGTAGAAGGCCCAACAAAAGGGGCTGCGTTAATTTACAAGCAATTGATCATTTTTAGTGAAATTACCTCGTACGGTCAGTCGTGCATTTAGGCGTGTTGTTATTTGGTATCTAATATCAAAATCACGAGTGCTTTTGTGAGTTTTATGGAAGCAAAATCCAGTCACCGACCCAATATCAGGCGAAGCGTGCCTATAGGCGCATTTCCTTTTGTACTATTTATTCCATCTAGCGCACTCTGTAATAAAGGTAAGGCAAGGTTTCTAGGCATTCTCGACACCCCGCTTTTACTGGACGAGAACGTTCGTGGAGTAGCAGGTGATACTCTCGATGAGGTACCTCAAGAACGCGATCGAATATTGTATCTTATTGTCATAACTTCACAAATCCTGCGCACAAATCGCACGCCAGATTGCATGGGGCGGACCGACAACATCAGGACACGCTAAAAAATATCGCCCCATTCCCGAACTTCCGTGATAAAGGCAGTCGTAAGAAAAAATCATCAGTTCAGTTCCGTTCAATAATCCTCAGAGGCACTTCAATAAAGTGCATTACACGAGGAGGGCGATCTCGTAAAAAACAATAACACTCGAGGCTGCCGAATAACGGCAGGGCTAATTATGAAGAAGATACATTTATATGGGTCATAAAAATATACGAGTAAAAAAAAGTAAGTTATAAAGAATAAACATTTTCATTAACGTAGGACGCTTGTGAAATGTGCCTTGCAAACACTATTGAATTTTGCCTGATTTGTTTCGAATACGATTAATTCAGAAAGAGTATTCCAGTTAATAGAAAAGAAAGCAGGGAATTTTTAAATTTTAAATTTTATTAGTTATAGCGAACAAAATTGCTGTGAGAAGAGGGTTCACGGTAAGTTTTACAAAAAAAGAAAAGTGGTAGATTTTGTGAAACATGACAAGACGAGCAAGTGTAGTTCTTTCTGTCAATGGGCGAAGCTTCATTCTGTTGCAGTTTCGCTTGACGTCCGTGAGAAGTGGTGTGATTTGAAGCAAGATGTGTTTTTGTTTGTTGTTTTTTTAACACATCCGAGTTTTTATTCGGGCGTGTATTTTATCTGCAATTATATTGCAGATACGATACACAATTTGTCTTTAACTTCTGGTAAGTTTCCTGAAAATATGAAACCAGCTGAAACTTCAGTTATTTCTAAAGGAGGGGACAAAAACGTGTTGAGTAATTATAGACCAATTTATATTCTTCCTATTTTCTCCAAGGGGCTAGAAAAAATATATTTAAACGTATTCAACATTTTTTCGTAAAACGGCGAGCAAGATAACATGTATGGCCATGCACGGTAGTAGGATAAAATCCGTGTTCAATAAAACAGTCCCCGCCGGGCAATCTGGCAGTGCACTGGGATAGATGCCCATGCGACCCAGAAGTAGCAAAAACAAGAATGCTCGGGAGGTACGCGGATAAAGCTGCCTAGGAAGTTTACGATTAATTCTGTATCAGAAATCAAGGGGAAAGCAAGTGCGTTAGTACCACGTCAGCGCACCTTACAAATAGAGTTTGATTTTCTAAAGGAATAGCGAGAAATATGGTATTAATAGTGTGTTTGTTTCAATAAGCCCTCATCTGAGAGTTCACTTCGTCTTGTCTACTTCCTTGTTCCTGTTTATTCGGCGCTTTTCGGTTAGCACGTGTGACTATTTGTACAGAAGTGATGTACAAAAGCACGCTCCGCTGTTACGCAGACTGAAATGCTCATTACTTAATACACCCTCATTGGTACCAAAACGCTGAATAATTTTCGTCCGGTGTGTTAATCAGCTTAATACGAAACGCCTCTGCGGACTTTACGGTGCGCACTGGCACCTCTACCGTTCATTCAGTCCATCTGCTCCGAAATGACACCTTAGCGGCTCCGAAGACACACCTCAGCTGTCGCTGTGTTTCACCTTGCAAGGGTGTTTACAATTTTTAATCTCTCTATCTCACAACCGAATAATGCAGTAATTGGAATCGTAGTGTACGCGTAGTCGCGGTGATTACCCGTGACGACGATATTCAAATGCGGCTGATAGAATAGATACGGGCACTGCTCGAGCACTCGACTCCGGCTCGTGACATTAAATGCCTTAACAAAAATGTTCGGGCAGCAGCTTATCTTAATCCCTATGGTGACGGGAAGAACCTAACCCTAACAACGCGTGGGACTCAGCGCGTGCCCTCTGCTTTGTCAACCCCAGCATGTTGCTGCGATAAACCTTTGCGTCAAATGATCTGCATTATCATATCTTCCTCTATACTCACAATATCTGGCAGTTCTACGACGGAGCCATAAAGTGCCCGGTCGCGGATTTGGAGCGCGAAGATCTGGTAGGACCGAGCATCAAACAGCCATTTGTCAGGGAACCTGGACGTCAACGCAGAGTCAGGGGACCTGGACGTCAACGCAGCGGTGAGGACTCGAAACACACTTGTCTGCTCAGGAGAACTGTGTCACGGCGTCTCGCCGCAGCGGGGTGCCAGCCAAGTGGCTCTTTTCTCATTCGTTCTCAACCGCTCCACCTTTTTCATTTCGGCGGCCGCTTCTTGTGGCGATCTGCCAGGCTTTGTCAATATAGAGGTGGCTATGGCACTAAAGAACTTTGACGAAATTGCCTTCTGCGCGCTGCCATATCTTTGTCTTTTGGACTGTGAAACGCCTTTTGAGCATGCGCTGTTGATCTGCTGTGCGGTATATTGGACGCTGCGGATGCGTCCACAGATCAGTGACTCAACATTTTTTGCCCGGGTGATAAACGATGCAAAGGTTTATAGTCGGTGAAATCCCAAGAATTCCGTGCGCGCTCCGCCCCCATCGCAAGCTTCCTGTTTTTGACAACAAATCATCGCACGCGCAATCGAAGCTCGCTGAGAGGCAACAAGCGCGTGCTGGAGGCGGAGCTACCACACAATTCTTAGCCTGTAACCGAGTATAGATTATGTGGCCGCTTGTTCTTGGTGCAAGTTAAAAAAGTAATCTATTTGCTGTTTTGTGCGATTTGTTTGTTACGATTGCCATTGCGTGGAGATAAGAATGAATGAGTGTTTAGTAGGTTATGGTGGGCTTCAGGGAATCATAAGATTATTTATTGCAAGAATAGAAATTAAACCACCGCCCCTCCAGAGGGCAAGAACGGTATCGCTGGAGATTATTATGGTGATACTAATATTTAACATGTCACTGGGGCCTATATAGGTGGCGCAAGTCTCATCGGGAGCGTTGAGTCACAATTGAACTAAAAACATGCAAGGGTACGGAGTTTTAGTAAAAGAGCAGTAGTGATCTTCCCGAGTACCTGAATAAAAATAAAAAGAGCAATGAAAAATATCCTAATATGCACAAAATGTAGGTACGTGAACTTTCTACTTCTTCGCATAATCATCGCACAGATTGGGGCAGTTAGTTTGACATGGCACATGCTTTTGGACACCATCTCCAAAGAAAGTGGGCGCCTGCGTTCGGTCATTTCTGTATGCTCCAGAAAGACCGCCACTCTCCACAAACATGTAGTTTTCACAAAGAAAATGTCACACAATTTAGGAAACGGCAAAACGACGTTCGTGCTTATTATTAAAGTCAGCGAAGGACGATTGTGGAGGCTGAGAGTCTTCAAATAGCGAGGAAATTGAGTGAGAGCTCATGCGTCAACCTTTCTTGCAGACGGCATCCAAGAGCCTGTGCCGCATCCTTGTGACTTCCTAAATCCGTTCGGTCATTATTTGGAGAAGTGACAATTAAGCTCGTATATACAGTTTGCGTGTGTTAAAAATGCGCTTTATCACTCGTTTTGTTTACCCAGTCCATAAGATTTTGTAAAAATCCCGGCGGCAGCTTTCTTTCTGAAGGGTATCGAAGAGGGTGTGCCGCGTCACAGTAACTATGTTAATCTATCGCGGGGATTGTCTGGAGGAGTAGCTAGATTACGCACGATCTACAGTTTGCGCTGATTAAAATATAGTTACACTAATCACTCTAGTTTATTTACCTAGTTCGGCAGAACTTTAGGAAAAAAAAAAAACAAAAAAACTCGTAGATCGTTCTGATAACTTCGATAACAATACCCGATACTCCGCCAGCGACTTTGGTTTTTTCTGTGCGTCGTATCGCGGACGATTATTGTTATCGGAGATCTTGGTACAATATTTAGACCCCCATATAGCATCTGTGACCCACTGGACCAAGCGCAGCTTTAAACATGCTATATCTTTCTTTAGGAACAAACAAGGAGGCCATAGTTCCAAGCCATGAGCAAGCAAGTCAGCCTCCTCGACTCATTCCTTCTACCGCTCTGGACGACTCTGATGGAACTGGCTCTTTCCGCCGCCGCTGGCGGATTGTGCATCGTCGCTCTCTTTGTGCGCAAGGGAAAGTGCAGGACCAGCCAAAGCATGGAGGGAAAGACGGTCATAATCACGGGAGCAAATGCGGGTAAGAAATTCACCTTCTATTCCCAGAAGGAAACACGTCTTCAGAGCCCAACGCTGTCAAAGTATTGACCTCGGACTGGCCGTTCTTTGTAAAGCTGTCCTTTCTGTAGCCTTAAAGGGATACTTCAACGAAATTTGAAATATATCCGTCGTGTTCAAAAATAGGTCGAACATGATCCACAATATCTGTAAATGGCAATCGCACGTTTGTATTTTGAGCCCGGTGGCTTTATTTTTTGTTATAAAGGGCCCATTCTGGCAAGCGCTCGGAGAAGGCCCAGCTTAGAGCACGTGACATCCGACGCAATCGGGACGTAGGTCGTCTCGGGACGAGCAAAGCTACGGCGAGGCTGATTGTCGAGAGGATGGCCTAGTCGTTCCAGCCACCGAAGCGACTGCTTTTGTACGAATTTTGAGTGACGGGTTAATCTTTTATAATATTGTAGGGCGACAATAGCTACTTCTGGAACACACAAAAGGGATTCTCGGGAAGACGGAAGTTCCTCTTTCCCCTCTTCTCTCGTCGTGGCCGGAGGCGAGGCAATAACCGTCAGTACCTCTCAAGTTTCCTAGATGGACATTACGAACGAGGCGTTAGCGACATCCACGAGGGGCCCTTTGCTAATCGTATAATTCGTTTTAAAATTCCCTTTCGTGTTATTTTTAACAAGATATTGGTGTGTCCGACGTGATATTGCTACTTTGAACACATATAGACCATAAAATAAGCGCCGAAATTTCGTTGTAGTACCCCTTTAAATACCGGCTGAATGAGCGCCACGTGCCTGAGCGTGATCAGGTTTGTCAACTTTGTCTACAAGGCAGCAATTTTCCTCGCTCGTGTGGCCGGAAACTGGATGACAAAGCCTTTTTCTTTAAAAAATAAATAAATAAATGTATCTATTTTACGAATAAAGTAGGAAGGCAGAATGTGCAGCGTATTTTGAGCTGCGTTAAGCCGTTTTTATTTTAACTTAATTTAATTTAATTCATTTCCCACCAGAGGCATTACGAAAAAGCAACAAGAATGGTTAACAATGAAAAGAAATTAATCCATGAAAAATGAGAAGTTCTTTTAGAATTGTTTTTTTATATAATATATATGTTTACTATCGAGTCTGGTAGATTGCTCCCATTGTCAACAGAAATTTCCGGGGAGAAAATGTAAAGCGATTGGTCCTAGGAATAGATTAGAAAAGTTTGAAACTGTTACTTATGCGACGGGAGGTGTTAGGTGCTGGTGGGCAGTATGCTGTTTTCACCGAATTGTTGTGGTAGTAAAATATGTGCTGTATGTTTAGGGCGAATAACAATCTGCCTGTTTTCAGAAAAGGAGATGAGGTTTAGTTTTAAGTCCGCTCACGCAATCAGCAAAGTTATATTTTCGGCAAATAAATCGCAGGGAGCGGTTTGTACTGCATGTAACATATCTTCTAAAAATGATATCAAAGGATTCCAAACAAACGAAGCGTATTGAAGCTTGGGTCGATCAAGTTACGTACATGCTAGAAGTTTAGTATTTTAGGAGCCAAGAAAAAGGACCCGTCGCGAAAAACCGTTTGTCCTGTTACTTTTGCGGATAATGTGGGTTATCTAATACACCCTTGAGATATCACTTGTAAAGGGAATTCGAAGGTGCATGCAACTTGCAAGTATTTGTTTTAAGGTTTTACCGAAAACATAGTAACAAAATATTTTGCGCTAACGGACTTATATTTGGTTTTGCTTCTGTGGATATTAATTTACCACCGTTCACACTCTGATACGATATGATGTAGACCAGCTTAGAGTTGCGCGAACTCGGAGTGATTCTTTATTTTTTTAATACACGACAGAGTCAATGGCATATAACCGAATTGTAGACCTAATGTAAGTCGGTAGGTGATTAGCATACATGAGAAACGGAAAAGACCACAGCACAGTTCCTTGAGGCCCTCCGTATATGATTACTATTGAGGACGAGGAAGTGTTGTTAAGAGCAATGTATTAAATTATTTAGCAAAAAAAAAAAAAGGCAGTTCAGTTGATTAGTGTTTTAGAAATTTTACGCTAACGCAATTTAAAATTAAGCTGTAGTGAGGAACTTTATTAAAAGCTGTAGAAAGGCTACTAATACCATACGCTTCTGATGAAGTATGAATTGTTTAAGCGCATATCAAACACGAATTTAAAAAAAAAAACAAAAAAAAAAACACACCTAGGTATTACAGGTCGGAAACTACCGAAAGCCGCGCTGGCTTAGAAAAAGTAAGGTATTACAATACATATCATTAGAATTATTAAGTAAGCAATACGCTCCACAAATTTAATTGCAACGCATGTTAGGCAAATGGGACTTTAATTAGTCATGCAGTGTTTTTCGCTGCTATAATACATGGAGTTATTCATTGCGTGTTTCCAACAAACGGCACATGATCAGAGTCAATAAGGGAATGTTAAAATAACTTACATAGGAGTTTTCTAAAATCTTTTAGTTGAGTCCGGTCCGAGCTGCAGCAGACTTGCTAGTGCGATTAGCAATCCGTTTCTTACTGTCAAGTGCCGTTATAACAATGATGTTCATGTTGGCTGTAATAGTATAGTAAAGCGTGGGGGCAAGTAAAAACTAAAAAAAAACTGCTCGTCCAGAAAAAAAAAAAGGATTGAGTTAAAGGTTCTGCAGACTTTACTTCCAGGAGCTCATTTCCATCAGGGACAAAAAGCCCTGAGATGGTCTGGCTTGATTAGGGTTAATAGTTGACTACGGCCTCTTAGAATTTGTAGTCAGTAAGTTGAACCAGTCTGTATATACGAAAAAAGGCTAGCCTTTTAAATTTTGTACCTTCGTATGAACATGCATTCGCGATACCTTGACCACGGGGATCGAGTATTAATTGATTTTACGCGACTCCAAAGCCGCTTGAGACGGATCGAAAGCCAAGGGGGCTCAATGTATGAGCTGATATCTACTCTCAAAAAGAATGTGCGCAATTATTCCATAAGTGCATTCTAATTTTATTCTACAGTTCTATTTTGAAAGCCTTCGAAAAAAGGGAGCGTGAAACGATGTAGGTGAACAAGGAGAGCAGTTCGGTCGGATCGTGGATAACTGAAAACTGTCTTAGTTCGAGGAGCTGAGCTTCTTGGTTGCTATCGACAATTGGACGCCAATACAAAAGTCATCACTAACATACTTTAATGCCTGACTCACGTGGTGCGATTTTGTTTGCAATTTCACAGCTGCCGCGTTGAGATCCACAGCCTCCACGAGGCTTTTCCTGCCGCACGAGCGACGTCGAAACTGTGAAATCGCCATCCAAATGGCGCCACGTGAATCAGGCTTATGCTTTTGACAGCCTTAACGTAGTCGGAGAAGCGGAAGAAAGCAGCCAGGTGGTTACGAACAGAGCATGCCCGCCAATCATTCTCGGATGAAACCGTCATTACAGTAGAACGATCGGGTAGCAGCTTTTTAGTCCTAAACAAGGGCTTTCTTGTGCTAGGAAAGCAGGCTACATGCCGCTAAATGTAGGGCACTTAGGTTCCGCTATCCCATGGAAACATTTCCCCTCAGCATTTTGTGGCAAATTTTAAAAGTATACCTCCTGCAATATTTCAATAGAGGTACTTAAGTTTGCTAATATCGGTGTGTTAAGTTTATGCTTTACTCTCTTGGAGGGAATTTTTTTAACAATAATTTCAGACAAATTTATTTCGAATAGCAAATAAAACAACGAATCTTTCAGTTTTGGTGAGGAAAAACGACTCCAACGGGGGAATTTTACACCCTTCTCTAGTCGTTTTTTAGAGACAGGGACATTTTTTTCCCAAGGAACGGGGAAAATATCACACTCCAAATTTTAATATTTGATTGGTTGGAGGCATGAAAATACCTCCTTGACTTTTAATGCTAAACGTCGGATGATAGCTTCGGCGCAAAGGTAAATACAATAAAGCCATATTGTGCTATTTTAAATATGTTTGCAAAAACAATTGACAATGTTAGAAAACAATTTACCATCGCACGAATATTTTGTCCTGAAAATAAAACGTGGTATTTCACATATGCAGTGAATTTCCTTGTGGAGGTCTACCCTTTTCTGCAGATTAATTCCTGAACTAACAGGGTGCCACGGTTGCACGCAAAAAAAAAAACCACAACAACAATAAAACGAAATAATAATAAAAAAACTACAGTTTGCTAAAGCACATCATTCCCCAGTTTGCAGTAGCTTGAACTACGTCTGAGCAATTTTTATTATTCTCGGATGTCATTCGCCACCCTAAACACTTGCCCTATGTCCGCGTTTCTCGTGAAAATTTTCGTTGTACTACTCAATAAAAGCAAGCTACACCGTTTCGCTAGTTCACGCCTTCTCTGCTCAGTTGCGTCGACTCCCCAGGGTTGCGAATAATCAGAGAATTTCCTGACCGATTTTCCGGCGTCTCAGGCTGAATTAGATTGTTAGCATGGCCGGTATGAAATCTGTTCGAGAGCCTCAGTTCTTCTCTTTCTCAGACGTGTGCGGGAAGCTCTCCTTGGCGCATGCTTGAGGGCATTGCTTTGAAGAACAATTACATTTGTCTCGATTGTTTTGATAAACCAGAGACCACAGAATGTGTCGTGCGTGCGTTATGATTTCTTAGGCCCGCTTCAGGCGGGGAAATTTCTCCCAGTAACTTGACTCCGCAACAGAAGCAACACGGGCCATCCGGGTTCACACGGAGCGACCGAATTACTACAATTTCCCATTTCTCAAAACACATTTGGGATTTTTGCAGTATTTAAGCGCACAGTTACGCGCTATAAACGTGCATTTATATGCTTAAATGGCGTTAAGAATAGTAACTAATCTTTCTGAAATACTTTATTCCCCAATAGGATTCATTTCATACCAGAACCAAGTTAAACCCAGACTTTAGTTGTCGTGATCGACATCAAAGGGGTGTCACGTGGAACTATCGCGTCCCAGATTGGCCGCTGCCGCTTCAGACGTCCCCCAGTTTCGAGTCGGACTCGAT